GCATCTTTCTCAACATCCTGAAAAGGTAATGTAGGTAAAATATGCTCATAAACATTAAAACTAGTTGTTAGAAAGACGTAACTAGCTTTATAATTTAAGTTTTAAAGCATAAATACTTGCAGCTTAATCTGCCCTGACAATGATTGTCGAAGCCTAGAATTCAACATTTATAAATTCTCATTCACACACACAAAACACTATTATCACACAACTTGTGTCTTGAGAGAATCTTCTGCTTTTTAAATCTTTGGCCTCCCAGTCAATCCCAAGTTCAACCAACTTTTCCGAGTTCTGGTAGTTACCTGGACCACTGAGGCATTGCCACAAGACTTCTTCTCTTTTGAAACATCCTTTTTCTCTAGATATTAGGATAGCTACACCAGGAAGAAGATTCTTGTCTTGAAGTGTGGCCTGAACACAGAGTTTACCCCTTAGTCTATACATCTTTAATTGCAAGTGTTCATTGCTATGAGTCATTGGTCAGGTTCAAAGCCTCTGGTTTCCACTACACCACCAATAAAGGGCTCTCAGTGGGAATCCTCGTGGAAATCCTGTTGTTGTCCTGTGTCATGGAGATCCTGCTGTTTTGGATTTGTAGATTAGTCCCCTTCACCTGCCCCAACAGTTCATAGATTTGATGGATGTTGCAGTGGGCCAACTCATAGATCTGGTTCTGGGACTGGGTGATACCTGGGTTGGTTAGCTCGCTAGCTTTCCCTCATCATCACTACCCTGATGAGCTTTTCAGTACTGCCTCATCTAGCTTACCCAATGCAATCTAGAGCAAGGAACCATGTCAGTTCTCCTACTCTCAGTTCCTCAGATCTGGGTGCCCCTTACTCATATCACCAGGGCCAGCTCTACTGTTTTGCCCAGGAAAGTTGCAGGGATCTCTCTCTCTCCCAATTACCATTGGGTGCAATAGGGTGCATATGAAATGGGGGGGGGGTGTCACGTCTCCTCTTACACCCTCAGGGCTGACTCACCTGTGCCCCAGACAACAGAGTCAGCTCTACTGTGCTGCCCAGATGGGAAGCAGAGATTGCTTTCTTATGCACTGCAGTTGGTGAGGGTCAGGGCTAGCTCTCCTACTCTTGTGACCACAGGGCCAGCTCTCTCAACTTCCACAGGTGGTAATGGGTGATGCGGGGAAGGGCATCTTTCCCTCACCCATGCCACCACATGGCAAACAAGGGGGCGTTGGGGTCAACTCTCCTGCTCTCATGCCCTCAGGCATGGCTCACCTTTGTCCCTGACCACAGAGTCAGCTCTAGTGTGCTTTTCAGGTGAGGTACATGCCTATAAACATATGGAACGCTTCATAAATTGTCATGTCATCCTTCCACAGGGGCCATGCTGACTTTCTGTGAATCATTCCAATCTTAGTATATGTGTTGCTGAAGCAAGCATATCTCTTATTTCTTAAGTATTATTTATACTTGTAATTTTTATTATTGCTTTCCCATGTTTACAATTACAATTTTTACATAAGCTAAGTCTCATTTCATATTCTATCCTAGCAATTGCTGAATAGTATATTTTATAATAAAATTATCTTTTTCTTTCACTTATACATATTTAAGTGACTGCTGCTATTCTTATTCTGAACAAACTACTACTAGAGCAATCAAACCTAAAGCAAATAAATATTCATATTATTTTGCAATTTCTTTCAATATTTTTTTCTTTTAATTATATTTTTATCTTGATTCTGAGATATATCCAGTTTGTTTTGTCTGTATAACTTCTTTGAAAATTTTTGTCATACCCTGGGATAAAGAACTGCAGGCAATTGATAACTGCTGAGAGGAGAGTAAGCTCCTCCCTGGGGAAGAATTTTCTTATTAGTTGTCCAACACAAAGTGGTCAGCCCTAAAATCAGATACACACAAACAATGAAAACAGACAAAGCACACTGATTTTATATATTAGTGTGTGTGTGTGTGTGTGTGTGTGTATGCGTGTGTGTGTGTGTGTGTGTG